CTTTTTAATAAAAGTGTCAAAAGTACCAAAACGATAAAATTATTATTATTAAACTTTAATTTTTTGAAATTTAAAGTTTTTTTAAAAAAAAAACCAGAAGACGACGACAGATAACTGACAAATTACTGACGTCACGGTAGAGATAATAATAATAATAAGGTCGATTATAAAAAGAAAAAAAATTTTGAATTTAAATTTTTTTATGTTGGCGGCTCTATCGATCGATTAATAATTAAAAAAATTTTCGAAAGTACGTTAAAACGTTAAAAAATTTACGTGATTTGATTAAAATTAAATAAATCAAGTTTGGAAAAAGTTTTTTTACCGGAGGGAAAAAAGGATGATGGCGGCAAAGATGGCGGTGATTGTGAAAGGAGAGGGGGGAAGTTGAGGAGATAGAAAAAGAAACCGAAAATGTTTTAACTCCTCCGGATAAAAATTATTTTGCCATTTTTTCATATTTTCATCGTAAATAAAATTTAAAAAAAAAAATGAATGAGATAAAAACTTACAGAATCATTCGAGAGGGATCTTGATGTCAGTCTGTTTGCTGTTGGAAGGCTACGAGAATCAAAATTATGATGTACGACGTGATGAGATCTCGGCGTCGCCGGTTGAAAATTTCCAAATGAATGTGCGTAAGGTTCACGTATGACGTTTAGAGAAGTGCACCTAAATTCCCACGTATAAAAAATTATAATTAAAATCAAATTGAAAAAAAAGGGTTTTTAAACGCGAAATTTTATTACGGCTCGGATGCTGCGATTGGTCCAGCCAACATAAACCCACACATGTAATTTTCATCGAATTAATCGTCATTAAAAATAATTTTTTTTTTTTTGTATAAATTTTATCATTTTAAAAAATAAATTTTCTCTCGTACGAATCCCCCCAGTATTACAGTAAATTTCCGGAAACGGAAATAGAAATATTTCGATCGAACGATTACCTCGAAACGGAAGATTGTAAAGGTGTTTCAACGGAAACCGGCGTTGCATAACCCATATCGCTCGGTGTATCTTCGTATTCTTCTACGTCATCTTCTCTTCCGGCATGCCACCATGATATACACCAATCTCTTATCCATGCCCATGTGAATGGTCTCGCAGCCTGGAAAAAAAAAAATTATTATTATTATTATTATTAATTTCAATTAAATTCTAACAAAACCGTTACGATTAAGTCGAAACGTTACAAAATCATATAAATTTTCAAATGACGACGATTAATGTTAACTTACGATTTAAAACAAAAAAAGATATTATCGATAATAATCGAAAAAATATAAAAACGGGTGATAAAATAATATTAATAATAATAATAATGATAATAATGGCGTAGACGATAGTCGTAACACATAAAAGCAATTAAAATAAAAAAAAATAAAAATAATTTTTTTTTTTTTTATCCCGGCGTAAAATTAATAAATAAATGTTTTTATTGTTTTATAAGGCAATTAACACAAATATAAAATAAAAATAATAATAATAAAATCCGCCATTTTGAATATTAACTTAATTGAAATTCGAAATGTCGAAGAAACAAAAAAAAAAAAAAAAGAGAATTTTTCCTTTCATTTTCTTCGACATTTCTTCTTATTATTATTTTTATTTTTTATTCAAGAAGAAGCAGACGACGAAATACGGGGTAAGTAGGGAGAGAGAAAGAGAGAGAGAGAATAAAAGGAAAAAAGAAAAAGGAAAAAACGAAGGTTTTTGTTTTTTTTTTTTGATTTTTAATTAAAAATAATGCCATTCAATACGTTTTAATCAATGTAAAACCTCACTGCCGTCATCGTCGCCGCCGCCACCGCAGCCTCCGCCACCCCCACCATTTCTACCGCTACGCCCGCCGCCATTTCAACCATCGTTTCCAATAAACGGAAAAAAATAAAAAATAAAATAAAAAGGAAATTTTTTTTTTTTTTTTTTATAATTAACGGAAATTCGTTTACGGTTGATAAAATTTATTTAAAAAAAAAAAAAACCGGATATGGTAAGAGATTATTAAATAGTGAACTGATATGAAAGTAAGAGAGCGATGATGACAGTTAAAAGTAAAACAGAGAGAGAAAAATGAAAAACAGCGAAAGAAAAAGTAAAAAAAAAAGGTAAAAATGTTTTAAATGCC